GGCATCGGCGGTGCCCTGTCTCAGAGGGCTGCAAAGACAGATTATCTACATCCAGGGAGCAGCTTTGAACTGATCAGCCACATTTACACCTTAACCTGTCCCTAGATCTCCTTTGGTGCAGGGAGTGGTGGTATCTCCTCTAACTTGCTGGTTGCATAAGGGTCCCCACTTCTCCCCGCCTCCCTGTGTGAACCCTAACTCTGCCTTGACTGCCTAGGTGATCCACCGCCTGCCCATGCCCAACCTCAAAGACGAGCTGCATTCCTCGGGGTGGAGCGCTGGCTGCCCCCGCTCTGACAGTGTCACAACCAAAAGGACCAAGCTGATTCTGCCCTGTTTGATTTCTTCCCGCATTTACGTGGTGGATGTGGGTTCCCAGTGCCGGGCTCCCAGGCTGTGTAAGGTATGACTGGGCTGACTACACAAGGACTTGAGAGCCGGTGCTTCTTGAGGGAAGAAGGGTTCTCTCTTCGTCTTCTCTTCCACCCTGATTTGAGAGAGCAGCTCTCTCCCTCTCAGAGCATGGGCAGCTCCGATCATCGCTGCGGTCCTTTCTGTGAGCCCGCTGCCTTCCGAGAGGGTCTGGTAGCTGGAGGCGATGCCAGAGCCAGACCAGCTGTTGGGAGTTGGGTGTTGCTGCATTGTGGTTGTCTGTACAAGGAGCAGCTCAGAGGGTTCTGCGCTCCTCGGCAAGGAGGAGCAGGCTCCAGCCCGTGGGAGTTCTCGGAAGGAAAGCTCCTGCGAGCCTCAGAGATTTCCAGAAGTCTCTGGTGATCAGAGGCTCTGTCAGGGAGTGTGAAATGAGCTGAGCCGTGGGAGGCTGAAGTGTCTGTGTGTGTAAACTTCTTCCAGACGATCGAGCCCGTGGATGTCTTCTGGAAGTGCAACAAGGGGCACCTCAACGTACCTCGTGCCCTGCCTAACGGTGATATCCTGATCGCCAACATGGGAGACGCAGCGGGCAATGGAAAAGGTATTTGCCCTCTAGTGGCTCCATGGACAAACCAACTGCTTTGGAAGTGGAGTGTGCAGTTTGTCATGTGTCCCCGTTTGTGTCACAGGAGGATTTATTGTGCTGGACGGAGAGACCTTTGAGCTGAAGGGGAACTGGGAAAATGAGTGTGAGGCCCCCCCAACTGGATACGACTTCTGGTACCAGCCACGCCACAATGTTCTGGTCAGCACTGCTGGTGTGGTCCCAAGAATTGCAGGACGTGGAATAAGTCCCGACGACTTTAAGAAAGGTGAGGGAAGAGGGATGCAAGAGGAGCCAGATGTCACAGAGGTGGTGGGAGGGTGTCGCTGCAGTCAGGGAGCGAGGCCAGGCAGATTTCTCCCCAAACAGGACATGTTAGAGGCACGGCTCGAGAAGGTGCAGCCTCTGTCCTGAGGACAGGCTGGTCCCTGTCTCCTCCTGCTGCTCCCAGACTCGCTGCAGGTTCTCTGCAGGTTCTGGGTGTTGCTGCCGTGGCTGTCCCTGCCCACGAGCATTCTGGGGAGGGATTAGTGTCCATGGGTGTTCCCCCCCCTTCTGACTTGGTTTTCCGTTTCCTCAGGGGTCTTTGGGCGCCGCCTGAACTTCTGGAACTTGTCCTGCCGCTCGCTCACCCAGTGCTTTGACCTGGGGGAGGACTCTCTGCCTCAGAGCGTTAAATTCCTCCACAACCCCGATGCTGCTGAAGGATACGTCGGCTGTGCCCTGAGTGGCGTCGTCTACCGCTTCTACAAGTGTGAGGCGAGTATTCTGCTGGCAGCCGGGGGGAACCGCTGTGGGGCGATGGAGAAACACGCAGAAGAGTTTTGGGGTAGCAGGGAGGAGGCGTGTGGAGAGGGCAGCCTGCAGTCCCTGCTTTGGATGAGCACGCTGGAATGAGGGGAGTCTGTTCTTCCCCTGAGCCTACAGGGAGCCCATCGTGACCATCTTGGGGGAACATCT